TACTACCTTTTTTGGTGGGGATGGGAAGGTGGAGAGGATGATGAATAAGATGCAGTCTTTGCCCTGAAGTCTAGAGAAGAAAATAATCAGATTATACTCAAAGGTGGAAAGCTCAAATGTGTAAGTATTGGGAAGATACAGTGAAGAGTACCTAACACAACTTTGGTGGCCAAAGAGGGGCACAGCAAGGTTACAAAGGAAGGCTTCCTATGACAGTAACATCTGGAGCTTGACCTCAAAGGAATTTGGTTAGAGGAAAGAGAAGTATTCACACTAAAAGAGGCTACAGAGGAAAAGACACTAACAGATACAAATCAAACCACCCTGAAATACCATTTTTTCACCTCCCAGCTTGGTAAAACTCCAAAATGTGATAAACTTCTTGTGGAATAACAGTAACTTTCATCCATTGCTGGGGAAGGTATACATTGGTACAGCCTTGAAGGGAAGAAATTTAGCAATACCCATTAAAATTTCAAATGTACATGCCTTTTGACTCTGCAATTCCACTTTTAGGTATTTATCTTAGAGCCTGGTTCACACATACATAAATTAACACACACGTTACTCACTATAGAATGTATTTTAATGTTAATTTTGGGGGGGGTAGGGAGAGACAGTGTGCATGCATGCAAGCGGGGGAGGGGTAGAGACATGGCAGGGGGTGGACAGAAGATCCAAAGTGGGCTCTGCACTGACAGCAGCGAGACCAATGTGGGGCTCAAACTCACAAATCTGAGATCATGACCTGAGCCAAAATCAGAAGCTTAACAGAATGAGCCCCCCAGGCACCCCCATTACAGAATGTATTTTAATAAATTAAGACATGCACACAATGGACTCCTACACATACTATTTTAAAGAAAGAACAAGGTGCAGAATAGCTTAAATAGTATGTTATCACTAAGTAAAAAGGGGTGGGACAAATAAAAATAATATTTCATTGTGTTGATTTGTATGTATGGATTATTTCTGGAAGGAAACACAAGAAACTGATAACACTGGCTACTTCCAGGGACAAAAACACAGTGCCCAGTAACAAGAATAAGAGACTTTTCATTGTATAGCCTTCTGTATCTTTTACATTTTGAACATTTTAATGCACTAATCCATAAATACATAAAATTAAATCAGCACAGCACCTAATGAAAATTAAAACAGTTTGAAATTAGTGGAAAATGAAGTTTGAGACAAAAACTGATTAGAAATAAAGCTCAACAGGCATACAGGAGCCAGTTCATGAAGGGCCTTGTTTGGCATACTAAGTAAGGATCATGAAGGTTCCCATAGAGCAGTGTTTCTCAAAGTGTGACCTGGGGACCACCTGCAAACCTGGAGAGCTTATTAAAAATGAAGTCCCCTGGACAGAGCCAACAACCTTAAGGGTGTGTGGTTGATAAAGGCAGAGTCTGGAGTCTCCACAAACTGAATCAGAATCTTGGGGTGCAAAGGTTCAGGCATCTGCATTTTAACAAACTTCCTAGGTGACTCTACAGGTTATGGGGAGCTTTTGAGTAGTTCTAAGCAGAGGAGTAAACTGGCCAGATGTTCACTTTAGATAGACCACTCTGGTGCCTGTATCTGAAAGATTTGAGAGGAGTGAGACTCTGTTAGAAAGCCCTGGAGGTACTCCAGATCATGTTCTTTAATTTGATAAATATTCATATACACTACATTCATTGCATACCATGTGGCAAAAGTATTACCTGCCCAAGAACCACAACCTAAGCTACACCATCACTGCAGGAAACACTGTTAAGGGAAACAAAATCCAAGGTGCTAGGATCTCCCAAATATGTTAGGAAGGTAATAACTATGAATAATTTAATCCAGTAATAAAGGGACTGCTAAATGAAATTATTCCATCCCATTATAAAGATTAAAAAACAACAACAACAACTAGGAGTGCCTGCAGGGGTGGCTAGGTTGGTTAAGTGACTCTTGGTTCCAGCTCAAGTCATGATCTCACAGTTCCTGGAGAGCAGAGCCTGCTTGAGATGCTCTCTTTGCTTCTCTCTCTGCCCCTCCTCTGCTTATGCATGCACACACACACACCCATACACACACCCAAACTTTAAATAAATAAATAAATAAATAAATAAATAAGGCAACCATTAAAGGGAGTTGCAGTGGAGGGAGAGAAGGGTGGAAATTGTTCATGTCTCATTTAGTATATATTAAAATAGTTTTCAATAAAACCTTCTCTTTGGCCAATAAGGCATGTTTACAATGGCAAAACCCTTTCCAATCATCTTTGATTCATCTAAAGATCTAATTTGTTGAGTGTCATGGACCCTATAAATAAAAGTTCCACATCTGCCAACAGCTGTATCTCTTATGATGTAAGTAAATTGGAATAATAGTTTAATTATCCCTTGCAAGGTAATGAGCCAGCAGAGGTAAAATCCTACACCAGAAATTCACAGGAAACATCACTGCACGAATTAAAAATAAAGCAATGCCACCAATAAAAGTGAAAGACCAAGCTTCAAAGATTTAACCCTATTTTGTACACGCTTTATCAACTAAGAAGTATTTCTTCTACTTAAGTAACCCATGAGGCTTTGGGGTATAAGATTATACTGGCACTCCATCCTTCATCTTCTATTTGCATTTTAACAACCTAACAGAGACCTATTCTGCAACAAAACCACCACCTCCACAACAAAAGAGAACCCTCTGGTATAAAACTTCAGGTTACCATGACACTATAGACACCAGAGGTAAGGTGCCAGAGACTAAAGTAAGCACATGGCCACTTTCTTTTGTACTCAATTCACATTATTCATATATCTTAGTATCTTTTACCCCAGCAAAACAGCAAACAATATTAGCCAGCTTATCAGTCCTACTACAGAGTCCCATTTTAGAAAAACTTTACACAGCCCCATATTTGGCCTCAACTCCATCTACTGCTATTCCATTCTGAATACTGGCTTTAATGTTAATGGTAAACTCAAATCAGTAAGGAACTAATCCAATATAATGTAACTGAAATGACAATGACTATTTCACTGCCTTGAGATTACAAAACCATGTGTTCTATAGTACAGAAGTTTTAACGCTAAGTTTTCTTCTCCCAAACAGCATTACCTAGCAATAGACAAATATTTACCTATTAGAGATTTCTCTTTAGATACCCATAGTGGGTACACTATGTAGTTCAATTTCTAAAGACTTATTGATCTGCCTACATTTAAAATGTTTTGATTAGTGGCAATCTGATTCAGAGGTCCCAGAATTAACCTAATTTAGAGGACACTCATCTTCCTGAGGCCTTGAAAAATCATCCAGAGTTTCAAAATGCCAGCACGAAAAAGAGCCTGTAGAGGCTATCTAGTCCAGCCTACTGTTTCATATACTGAACTCGGTGAAAGCACTTTTAAAACCTGACAGTACTACAAAAAGGTATCATTTTCATGCATGAGGCCCAGAGAAGTTAAAAAGACTGATAGGAAGTTAACCACACAAACTGGGCCTAGAACCCCAAGCTCCTAAATCCCAATCCCACACTCCAAACATGCCAGTGGAGTGTACTACTTTAAACTGCTGCGAGGGGCTTTGATAAAATTGTATAGAAAACAGTTTTATACATATGTTTGACAATTTCTAAAAAGTAGATCTTGCAAAACTGGGAGTACAATCCAAGGGACACACCTCTTTCCCAGAACAGAAACAATGTGCTTGCCTCTGACATTATTCCCTGCCTCATCCCCAATTTCACTCCCTGGCAAAACATAACTACTCCAACTTCCTACTCAAATTAACTGATTTACTTTTCAAAATGATACAATTGTCTTCTATAAATCGCTACATCTTCAAACACTGAGAGGAAACACACCTGCACCTAGCACCTCCATTAAAGGAAAATAGGGACCCTGCTCAATTAACTCATTGAAGAATCAAGAAGTTTAATGCTGAAAACAGACTATATTTAAGCAGTGAGGATTTACAATTTCATTTTGATACCTCTGCAAAATATTACGAAAAAATCTGAAGATTACAAACCATACCAGAAGTTTAAAACAAGCTGTCCACTCTTACACAGAATTCTACAAGATTATGGTTATAAGCATGTATAACTCCAGAGCCTTTGGGGCCACAGTATCAACAATTAGAGATTTCCATATTGTTCATGGTAGCATCTTCACTCCCCTTTTCCTAGAGTTGGTGGATAGGGAGCATGGGTTCAGAAGTTTCAAAAGGAGAGGGAAGAGAGAAGATATTCAGGGCTTTTTCTTGGATGGATTTATATACTTCTGCAAACATGTTACTATCTGTACCAAATACAGTCTCTTGTGGAGATACTATGTTATAGACGTAGGCTCTTTATTTCATAATTGCCAGATTCACCTGCCTTCTGTCCTGCCCTTTCTACTTAATAACACAAAGTCAAATTTTCTCCCTTGCTAACCTCTGAACTCAAAACACGTGTGCTTTTAAAACAAGCTGCTAGAACCTTGTCTGACGACCACGTTCCATCACGGAAAAGGCTCGCCCAGACCAGCTTTCTGGAGTATCCCAGGCCTAGCAGTCCTGCGGAGTAAAAGGGGGTGTGTCCGCGGTACCTTGGTCCTCTCTCCCACTTCCCGCAGCGGCGCCTGGGAGCTTTCTCAGGAGGCTTGGGGAGCGGTTTCCAGGGCGTCCAGACCTCAGCCACTGGCCCACCTTTCTCGGGGCTGTTGTTGATAATCCCCAAAGGGAGAATAGGGAGTGGGGCTAGTGAGGGCGCAAATGAATCCCCAAACCCTTCCCACTGGGAGCCCCTGCCCCCCCAAGTCTTCCTCCCCGTCTTGGGGGGGGTCTCTGCAGTTTCACCCCCCCCCCCAGCATACACAGAGGGCGGGGGTCTACGAGCGAAGCCAGAAGGATGGAGGGCAGCGAGGGGGGAAGGCTGGGCATTTAGGGCGCCGGGGTAGAAGGTCATCCCGAGAGGTCTCCGCCACACCAAAAAGCTGGGGTCGAGCACACACAAAACCGCGGGGGCCGCAGGGACCCACCAGCTGCTTCAGATCCTCCTCCGAAAGCTCCGAGTAACGGTACCGCTGCTGCTCGAACTCATACCGGGTGGTTTTGGCCACCACCACCACCCGCGAGGGGCGGAAGCCGCCTTCGGGGCGGCTGCCACAGCCCGCCAGCTCGCGCAGCTGCCCCTGCCCCAGGTGTCGCCGGCCGCCGCCGTCACCGCAGAGCCGCGGCCGCGCGGCGGGGCCTCCAGCGCCCGGCCCCCTCAGCACCGCCGCCCGGCCGCCTGCCACACGCCGACAGCTGCCCAGCAGGAAGCCTCGGTAGCAAGTCATCCTCCGCCCGGCGGGGCTGCAGGCCCGGGCTGCCGCCACCAACAGTGCGCGCGGCCCGCGCAGACCCGGCCTCTAACTCCGCGCCGGGCGGGCAGAGGTTAAGAGCACTACAGTGCGTGGCCCGCGCCGCGAGGGGGACGTGCCCAGACGTTGACGGGGGCGGGGAAAACCCGGCGACTGGGAGGAGGGAGAGCCCGAGCCAGGGAAAGGTGGGCGGGGAAGAGCTAGAGGCCTCAGGGTGGTGGGTTTTGTTTATTTGTGTATCCGTTTCCATCCACGCCTGCGCAGTGGCTGCTTCGACACCCGGGGGCCGACTCCAGCTCCACCCCCTTCCCTGGGTGGGCACCAAACCCGCACGCCCGCCCCCAACTCTGTGAACCAATCAGAGCCCGCTGCGGTTTCGGAGCCTGAGGAGCTGCGGGGGTTGGCTGTGGCCAGAAGAAGGGCTGGGATTCTATTTGGCGATAGAGCTGCCTTAGGAATCCAGCTGGAACCGGTCTGAAGCGGCGCGGGGGACTGCGGGTGGGGTTTCGAGCGCCTGGCGGGAGAGCAGGTGCCTGTAAGCGCCTCCTTGCCTGGGCTTCTTTATTGCTCTTGAACAGACCACATAAAACCACTCTTTAATCATGGCACATAAGACTGCATTCTTTATCCCTTCGTTCAACTAAGTCTAGGCAGATGGCCAATATGACCAACACTGGGCTGGGGGGGGTGGGGGGAGGGGGAGGGGCAAGGAAACTGACCAAAGACCATGTGCATAAATTGTGGGGCCTAGTGCTAAATGAAAACGCGAGCTTCTTGTTCAGAAATTATCAAGAATTTCAAGACCGAGAGCGGTAAGCCGGGTCCCCGGCCCATCTAAGCATGGCGCCCGTGGGACTGCACAAGTTACAGCGTCTGCTGACAACCAAAAAACTATCAGTCCGGAGGGAGACAGGTAGCCATTGAGGAAATTAGAGGATAGCGGGTAGAGGAATCGCCAAGTGAAGCATTTCTGGATGGGGAGAGAACGTTGAAAAGGTAGCTAGGACAAGAGAGAAAGCTTAAGAATGTTAGTAATTTGGACTTTAGTCTATAGGCAGTCGTGGCCTTGAAAGCTTGAAATCTTGAAAGCTTTTAACTGGAAAGATGCGAGTCCTGAAAACAATGTTTGAGGGCTGTTGATCTGGCTTGGGACTATTGAGTGGATTGGGAGGCAGGGGTAGGAAGGAGACTTGGCACTGTTGGAATAGTTAGACGTGGCCCTAGGTTGAGTTAGTGGTAATGGACGTGCAAGAAAATGCTCGCATGATAAGGGGAGAGTCAAATGGCAGTCCACATCCTACTGTTACCCTAATGCTCCTCACATGCACTTGCTTTGGCTCCCTCTTTGCTTCTTTAGAGTCCTAGCACTATCAATAACTAGTCTGTGGACTTTGGGAAGGTTGCTAACTCTTTCTGGGCCTCGCATTCCACATCGGTAAAATGAAGATACTGAACTAGAGTGGCACCAAGGCTCTATCAAGCCCAAATTGATTCTGAATCTGGGCTCTTCCTTTTCAGCTAGCCACCACCACCACCATTTATTCATGGGTTCACTGAATATTTATAGAATCCCTAATGTGTGCTGGGTACTATATTATTAGGAAATATACAATTGAGTCTGATAGATGTCTACTTTTAAAGTATTTTTTAAATGTTTATTTATTTTTGAGAGACAGAAGGAGACAGAGCATGAGTGGGGGGAGGGGAGGGGCAGAGAGAGAGGGAGACACAAATCTGAAGCAGGCTCCAGGCTCTGAGCTGTCAGCACAGAACCCAACGTGGGGCTTGAACTCACGAACTGTGAGGTCATGACCTGAGCTGAAGTCGGACATTTAATTGACTGAACCACCCAGCCACCACGCAGTATTTTTTAATGTTATTTTTTTGAGAGAGAAAGCATATGGAAGGGCAGAGGGAGAGTGAGAGTCTCAAGCAGGCTTCACGCTGTCAGTGCAGAGCCCAACATGGGCTCAAACTCACAAATGGTGAAATCATGACCTGAGCCAAAATCCAGAGCCAGACACTTAGTCAACTGAGCCACCCAGGCGCCCCAGATGTGTTTTAGTAGGTCACTGGCCAGGAACGTTGCCTCACAGCAGGTGCTAATAGTGACTTGTAGTGGAAATTTAAGCACATCTCTTAATTTCTATGGGATGTGAGTTACTCATTTTTTTATTTATTTTTCTTTTTTTTAAAATTTTTTATGTTTATTTTTGAGAGAGACAGAGTGTGAGTCAGGGGAGGGGCAGAGAGAGAGAGGGAGACACAGAATCTGAAACAGGCTCCAGACTCTGAGCTGTCAGCACAGAGCCTGACGCGGGGCTGGAATGCACAAACCGTGAGATCATGACCCTAGCCGAAGTCAGACGCTCAACTGACTGAGCCACCCAGGCACTCCTGTGAGTTACTCATTTATAACTTGAACATCCTCAAGGTCCTTTCTCTTCTCACTATTCCAACACTGTTATAGTAAGGATTTATAGAGAGGAAACAGCATGAACAAAAGTATGGAGAATGAAATAGCAGTTCTGAATTCCTAGAGAATTTAGAGGGAGGCAAGCAACAATGAAAGGTGAGGCTAGAGAGGCAGATTACTATAAAAGGTGGATGGGGGTGTTTATAGCAGCACTATCAACAATAGCCAAAGTATGGAAAGAGCCCAATGTCCATCGATGAATGAATGGATAAAGAAGATATGGTATATATACACAATGGAGTATTACTCGGCAATCAAAAAGAATGAAACCTTGCCATTTGCAACTACGTGGATGGAACTGGAGGGTATTATGCTAAGTGAAATTAGTCAGAGAAAGACAAAAATCATATGACTTCACTCATATGAGGACTTTAAGAGACAAAACAGATGAACATAAAGGAAAGGGAAAAAATAATTAAAACAGGGAGGTGGACAAAACCTCATAATGAGGTGGACAAAACCTCATTATGAGAAGAGACTTATAAATATGGAGAACAGAGGGTTACTGGAGGGGTTGTGGGAGGGGGGATGGGCTAAATGGGTAAGGGGCATTAAGGAATCTACTCCTGAAATCATTGTTGCACTATATGCTAACTAATTTGGATGTAAATTTAAAAAAAATATATAAAACAAGTTAAAAAAAAAAGGCAGATGGGGGAAAGACATGGAAGATGTTATATCCATGCTTAGGAACTTGGCTTTTATCCTGTATATGCTAAGAAGCCACTAAAAGGGGAAAATGACATGCTTAGCTTTGCAAATATTATTTATGAACAGGAATTTCTTAGAAGAAACAAGCAGAGAATAAATATCTGAAATATACTCAACCTTATTAGAAATTAGAAAAATACAAATTAAGGTGATTTCACTGAAATAGTCTTTCATATCCACTAGGTTGGCAGAGATTAAGAAATTTTGCCAATCTTCTAAATTATTTGAAAGCTATTACATCAAGGCTTTATAAGGCTAAACATTCCCAGTTATTTCAATAACTTCTCCAATGCCACAGTTTCTAAATATCATCTTAGAAACTTTAAATGTGTTCATGTATCCCAGTTTGTCCACTCCAAGTCTGATGTCAAAAATCATGCAGTCTGTGGTTATGATCTATTCATTGCAAAACAAACAAAAGTGCTTGCATTCATGAATTTAATATGAGTTTCAGTACCCTCAAACTACTAAAATAATCTGTAATGTTACTGAGTTTCAAACTCAAACCCCAGGTCTGGCAGTGCTGGTGTACTTTTCTAGAGTAAGCTTACCCAACCACCTGGTAAACACATCTCAAGAAGTTTACTTGTTTTCAACATTTTATGGGAAAAGTTCTATATCATTGTGACATTCACAATTTGAGGATTTACAAAGCTTAAGATGCATCCTTCCCAATCCCTAGATCCCCCTCCAACTCACTTCATGCACATTCTGACTCTATGAAAGATACACACCCCCGCCCCTTTTCTTTAACGGCATCCACATACTCTAAGACTTGCATAGGTTATTAGTCCCTGGGGTCAAAGGGTTCCTGGCTTTGGCAGTAATGGATGTAAAATAATAGTTTAAAGAGAGAACATTTTGACGGGCCATAAATTAAGCTGAATAACTTGGTAAAGTCTAAAGTCCTGTTGAAAGAGAAGACTGTTAAGTTTATTTTATATATATATATATATATATATATATATATATATATGATATATAATTAAATATAATGTTAAATATATATCTAATATATTTGGGAAATATTTAATAAAATTTTAATAAAAGCAGCTATTAAAATCTAAGAAGATGTGTGCTTTGAGATCACCTAATAACTTATGAAAATTATTATCATTGTATGATGATCTCTTCATGTTAAAGAGAGGTCAAAGTATGTAGAAAAGCCAAAAAGGAGGTTAGATGAAGAAACAGGACAAACAGAAACTATAAGATGTTTCTACTATTATCCAAAATATTACTAAATATTTGCATAAAGATTGTAAGAAGGAATAGTACAGTGGACAGAAAATGATTTGAAAGTCACAAGCTAAATACCATGTTTCTGCTGTGAGTAACCATGTCGTAATCCAGAGATTTTCACTCTTTCTCTGCCTTCCTGACATTCTAATACTATTTTTGATTCTGTTGCACTGGCATTAATATATAGACAAGTAATTGAAGTAATCTAATTTTTTTTTTGCTTGGTATTTGCAGAGAAGTTCAAGGAAAATCACAGAAGGAAAGAATGAATTCAAATTACATTAAAATGTTTGAGGCATTGAGAAAACATTGCTCTATCTCCACCTTAAAGTGAGGGCAAGAATGAACATGTTAGGAGGATAAAGATCTCTGTTCCCTGCTTCACTTTAACAATTTAGTGCAATCACAACGTTCCCTATTGGCTAAGATCTTATAGGAAAAGAGAACCAGTTCTTTAATTTCTTCTCCAAATGTCTTCCTGTTTATGTTAGCTTCTAAAGAAAATTTTCACTGACTATGTTCTGCATCAGAGGCACTTTTTGGGATTGAAAAAACGCAACCAACTTTAAAATTTGTTTTTCCTTTCTTTTTATTCTTTCATGCTAGAGCTATTCTTTTATTTTTTTTAACCTTCTCTCTACCTTTCCTCTATCATTCTCTCACATTAACTTTTTCTTTTCCATTTCCTGAATCATTGCTTAATTTAGAAGTAAAGGATGCTGTATTTCTTCCACAGTCACTAGAAAAATGAATGGGCTTCTCTTAGTAGCTCACTTTTTCACTAAGTTATACTCAGTTATAGGGAAGGAACAAAACTCTGAACAATTTATATTGTAACCAAATTATGGTCGAAAAGAGTTAACTCAACTTTCACATGCCAAACTAAAATTTTCAGGCATTAGCTCAGGTTTTAGTATATCTATATGTATCTATATATAATTGCTTTTATTACTATAAAAGGTATTGTAACAAAATAACGTAACTTTGAAAAATTGTGTATTCACATGTCTACATTCAAATGAATATTGTTCTTCAAAGTAGCGTTTAGTGAAGTTAGACCCATTATTCCAGATAGATGTCGTCATTGTTCAAAAACTTTTCAGAAATCATTTTGGAACTGTAAATCTTATTCCCTAGTTATGGACTGAATGTTTATGTTCTCCCCCTAAATGTCTATGTTGAAGCCCTAACACCCAATGTGATGGAATTTGGAGATGGGGCCTTGGGGGATAATTACAGTTAGACAAGTTTATGAGGGAAGGGCCCTGGCGTAATGGTATTGGTGTATAGGAAGAGACCCTAGAGAGCTTACTGTCTCTCTGCCTGTGTCCCACAAAGAGATCCTGTGAGTAGCTCTACAAGAGCAGAGGCCTCAGAATGAAACCTATTTTCTTGGCCCTTTGATCTTCAACTTCTCGGACTCTAGAACTAGGAGAAAGAAATGTCTGTTGTTTAAGCTGCACAGTCTGCGGTATTTTGTTATGGCAGACCGAGAAGAGTAAGATGCCTCTAACAAGGGACTATTTAAGAGTGATGATCAAAAGTCATTTTGAAGTCATGGGGTGATCAAACTTGATTAAAAAATGAAGTATGGCTACGAGCACTGAGACTACTTTTTTGTGTGTAACTCATGAAGTATCTCTGAGACAAATCTCAAAAGAGGAGCATCAAAACTCTGTTGCACGATTGTTAAAATTATTACAGTCTACCATTATTATGGTATCATTTGGGGGCGCCTGGGTGGCTCAGTCAGTTGAGCATCAGACTCTTGATTTTGGCTCAGGTCAGGAGCTCCCAGTTCATGAGTTTGAGCCCTGCGTCGGGCTCTGTGCTGAGAGTGCAGAGCCTGCTTGGGATTCTCTCTTTCCCTCTCTGTGCCCCTTCTCCATTCATGCACTCTCTCTCTCTCAATTAATTAATTAAAACAAATTTTATTATTAGATAAACATTTGTTTATTTGTTTTTGAGGGGGGAGGGTACTGAGAGAGGGGGCAAAGATTCTGAAGTAGGCTCTGCACTGACAGCAGAGAGGTCGACGTGGAGCTTGAACTCATAAACTATGAGATCACGAGCCGGGATCAAGAGTCAGATGTTTAACCCACTGAGCCACTGAGGTGCCCCAATAAATAAACATTTTTTTAAAAAGAAAAGATTTATTTGGCTATATGTATGTATAAAAAAAACAGGCTCTATACAGCTACACCCATAAAATATTAATGACAATTTAATTACATAAAGCAAAGAACGAGTTAACATATTTTACTTTTGTATACTTACTATTTTGTTACATAGGTAATGTATTTTGTTCATCCCTTCAACAACTATTGGATGCTGACCTGGAATCAACCATATACAAGGTACAATGGATACAGGTCCAAGAACAATAGTAAATTTAAAGAAATTCATACCATGAATATATAATCTTATAGTATTAGTAAATCCAAAGGTTAAATGCAAATACTCATTTCCCAGAAAATAAACACGACTTAATCAAATGTTAGCATGCAGTTACAGTGTTTTTGAAGACATGACTGGAAATCTTTAAAATGTTTGTTTTATGACCAGACAGTGTATGACTGAAAAAATAAATATCTTAGTTAGATATTTATCAAATCCAGAAATTTATTTTAACTATGATATCCACCAATGTGATGAATAGTCCAAATTAGTTATCAAACCCTATTCTAAATTACCTCTTCAAAAATGATAAATTTTGAACTTCCTAAGTCCATGCATTTCTTAAATTCTTTCATTTTCTCCACAATAATCAAAATGTAAAACCTTACAATTATTTGACTACATAAGAGAAAAATTTTAATTGCAACAAATTATGTTTTATGAACTTTGCTATAAAAACTCTTCAAGGGATGAATAGCATCTTCTCATTTACTTAAGATGATTTAGGATTTTCAGTAAGGTGATCAATCTTTTTGTAGATGTTGTCACATTTATAGTAGATAGTGCTCATGAACAGGCAACCGACTGTCTGTGGGTCCACCTCGAAGGATCTGTGATATAAATTTAAAATGTTAGAAAATGTTACATTCAGATTAGATTTAATATTGAACACAACTGAACATGAATATGCATGAAGATGCTTACAGGTGATGAAATGCAAAATGTAGAATTTACATTTTATATGTAACATTTGGAAATTAGCTAATTTTAAATTTTAAATTTTAAATTTTTTTTAACGTTTAGTTTTGAGACAGAGAGAGACAGAGCATGAACAGGGGAGGGTCAGAGAGAGAGGGAGACACAGAATCTGAAACAGGCTCCAGGGTCTGAGACGTCAGCACAGAGCCTGATCCGGGGCTCGAACTCACAAGCCATGAGATCATGACCTGAGCCAAAGTCAGACGCTTAACCGGCTGAGCCACCCAGGTGCCCTGAAATTTGCTAATTTTAAACATGATATTTCAGATAACTAAACCCTTCCTTAATTCATGGGAAACAAAGTTTAAAAAATTGGACTTTTTATTGCTTTCGTAACAGTTCAGCATTTGTATGCATCACCTCCCGGAGAAAGTACTAAGTGAAAAGGGAAAAATGGCAGAGGAAGAGGGGTTCATATGGTTGACATTTATTTTCCATTATTTCCATTGTTTCTCATTTTGTATGAAGGTAGTTGTATATTACTCTTTCCTAAAATGGAATATAATAAAATATAGACTTCATAAATGTGACTTTTATTGATGAGAGAACTTTGCCATTTAATCCTTATTTCATGTTAACATTTCTAATAGATACCAATTCATTTTCCAATAGACCCTATTTTATTACTGACAATACAAACATTATAAAAGATGATTTTATTTATACATTTCACACATTTTGAAGAATAAGAAACTATTTAATAGTGACAAGAAAAATCATATTCATTTAGTTCTTTGGCTCACTGAGTCAAGCAATCTATAATCCTGATCTGCATATATTTAAAAAAAATTTTAATGTTTCTTATTGAGAGAGACAGAGTGTGAGTAGGGGAGGGGCAGAGAGAGAGGGAGACAGATTCCGAAGCAGTCTCCAGGTTCTGAGCTGGCAGCACAGAGTCCAACGCAGGACCTGAACTCACAAACCTTGAGATCATGACCTGAGCCAAAGTTGCATGCTTAACCAACTGAGCCAGGTGCCCCCTGGTCTGCATATTTTGTACATTTTGATTACATTTTTTAGTATTAGGCAAATGAAGATATTTCCTCAAGTTTTACACATGTGCTTTGATAGATTCTTAAATTATGTGTGATTAAGTTACCTTTAAGATTTAAAATAAATAAAAGTTGGAAAAATGCTTGCTAACACACTATCTTTGTAGGTATGTCGCTCAGTTCTCTGTAGAACAGAATTCAGGCCTAAATGAAACTATTACTGAAAATACTTGGCTCCATTTATATAACAAAGCAGGACTTATTATTTCCTAGACAATCTTTTTCTCCAAAAATAATCATAAGTTTTTGTTTTAAATCTACTCACCAGGGCAAGCACTGAAACCTAAAAATCTGATAACTACTGGTTCTATTTTAACTTTGCTCAATTCATGAATCCTGACAAAAAAAATAGTACTTTTTGGCCTATGCAAAAAAGGTCCTTGAGAATAAAGCAAATTCCAAAAAAAGGAGATAAATAGGAGTTTCAGTGTTTCAAGCCAGCTTTGCCTGGTGGATCCATTGTAATATGTTTATTACATTTATGATGTATTTATAAAGTTCTACTATAGCCAATAATAGGAAAATGAGAACAGAGTGACACACAGGCATCAAAATGAGGATGACTTTTGGTAAAATCCTGATGGAGGCCACACATAGAAGGCAGTCACTTTCAAATCCACTCCTCTGATCCAAAGAGCTAGGACTCTAATTCCCATCTGCTTTATTTTTTTATAAAAAATTTTTAATTATTTATTTTATTATTTTACAGAGAGAGCGGGGGTGGGGGGGAGAGAGAGAGAGAGAGAGAGAGAGAGAGAATCCCAACCAAGCTCCACGTTCAGTGCAGAACCCAACACGTGGCTCCATCCCATGACCCTGGGATCATGACCTGAGACAAAATTGAGGGCTGGATGCCCAATTGACTGAGCCACCCAAACGCCCCCTCATCCACTTTAAACATACCAGTTCCATTAAAAACAACAACAACAACAACAACAAAACAATTTCATATATTAGGATTGTGTAGAAGATTTCTTTCTTATACCTCCGACCTAACAAAAGAAAAATTATTTACCTGATCTATTCTTAGTTGCTTTGATGAAATCATCCTCATCCTCATCACAGCTTTCACAGTTTAATTGTTGGAGGATTGTATCTGACTGGCTTTCCGCTTGGTTTACATCTTCCTGTTTACCAAAGCTTCGAAGTGCAACGAGCCGATGATGTATTGCCGCGTACAGACACCCTGTATCTTTGGCACTGGCCTGCATGAGGAAAATTAAGTTGTTAAGAATATAAATAACTGAATAATAGCCACATTTTAGAGATTTTTAATCTTTCACTCTTAGGAAGGAATTATATGGCAGAAATCTAGGATATAAATAACCCTAGAAGTTAAAGGGTAAAAAGCCATACATCCTGAACCAAACAAATTAAATCCAAAAGTGAATAATTTTATAACAGGTCCCTATTTGTGCGTTTTAAACTGAGAAATGAAATTTTTGATGTAAAATTTCTACTTGAATTCAAGACTATCCCTCCTCCGCTATTTTACTATCTTTCTATTTTTTTACTATTTTTCTATTTCTAATAGAAAATTAGAGGGTTCGGTGAATAACAGACCTCCACTTCCTTTACATCACTTTGTTTAGACATCCCAACAAGCCTCACAGCTCTGTGGAAAAGCAGAGCTCATTAAAGCAGTCTAATATTGCATCATAGAAGTCAATGCGCTGTCCATTGTGCCACAGAGCCATCCTTATGATACTGTATCATAAACACGTCATAAGTCTTTGCTTTCAGTACTTTTCTATGCTATTTTTAATAGTTGCTGTTAATATAAAAAATGGTGGTAACAATCACATTTGTATAACATTTACGGTTACTGCATTCTTTTTTTATTCAACACTTACAACAAAACTATGAATTAGTCATTTATTCCATTTATATTAGCAGAAGCACTTAGCACAAGTATTCAATTTATACTTACTTCCCACATCCCTTTACAGATGAGGAGATATGGCTCAGAAAAGTACAATGATTTGCCTGCATTTACATAGCTAGTCAGCAATCTGCTGGGCTCGAATCCCAGACCTTTGTCATCAGAGTCAGTGCTCTTTTAAGGTAACATGGCAGTGGTTTACATTTTTGTATGTTTTCACAATATCAAAGAGAAGGTAGGTAAATTATTCTCTTTGCTAACCCTCCAGAAAGCTATCAAACTTTTCAAAGCAAGAACAAACTACATGCCAACTGTTTGGGAGAAGGGTCTTCAATTATATTTTTTTCATTTGCATGTTCTTAAGTTCCCTTAATTACTTTGGGGCAAAAAATAACTGTAAATTAAATAAAGTATTTTTGTTTCTCATATTGTGCTAAATAATCTATAGAGGGTGTTGAGTAAATGTTGACTCTTGACTGATTTAATTTTTTACATTATGTGCAAAGATGTCATTTTTCTTTAGTACGTTAATAAATATTGAAAGTATTAAAAATATAAATGCTACTCTGCCACCTTCACTTTCTAATATTAAAATTTAAATATGCCTTTCATTAGTCAATATATTGCCTTTGGCTAAATTCATTTAGATATATTCATTCAAGAAATTCAGAACGAGAAGTTAAAAATAAAATCACAATGACATATTTTTCAGATAACAAATTCTCAATGCTTAAAAAAATTATAATTCCCAGGAAGTACCATAAGAAAATGCTGGCGAGAATGAAAACTGGTTCAGTCTTTCTGAAGAGAAATTTGTCAAGACAAGTCAAGCCTTTTCCCAAGAAAATTAACACGTGTACAAAGAGAATTCCTCACATCTTTCTTGTGGAATTTATAATAGTGAAAGACAGCAAATTACATAAGTATTTAACAAAGCAAGATTAATGGAATAAATTATGGTGCAGAATAGAATTCTTTTGACCTTTAATGACTATTTAATGACATGAAAACACTCATTTTCATTGATGAGTGAAAAGGTTACGCATGTGTACTTCATAATCAAGTATTAGCAATCGAATCTACCCAACCATTTTATAAAGTGTATCATTATAATCTTTATTGGGCAGATGAGTAAAATCAAGTTAAGGAATCTGTATAACCTGCCTGAAGATCATACAGTTGGCACATTATATACATATGTACACACACACGTATGCTGAAATGACAAAAATGTTAATAGTGACCATCTCTGGGAATGGAATTTGGGGTGATTTTTATTTGCATTTAGCAAACTAAATTTGGTTTATTTAGCAAATATCCTACAGTTTGCAGGGTCAGTGCGGGTCAGACATTAAGCAGCAGAATCTCATCATAACTAATAGTCTCAATCTCAGTGACAGTGGCAGCGGGCTGCTTTACTCGCTCAAAACCAGGAGATCCAGCCTGGCGGGATATCAGGTCTTGTCTGTCTCCCTAAATGGTAAACAGGGTTTGGGCATTATCTTACTCTAACATCTTAATACTCAGTATCACTTATACCTAACAGTGCACTTATTGGTAGTTAATAAAACTTTTGGTTTTTCATCACTGGGCACTTGCCAACTTTTTTTCCATTACTGTATGGAAGTTTATTTACTTGCATTGTTACTTTCTGCCTGAGTCACGTAAGTACCCAGTCTTCTCCAGTCTTCTGGGTCTCAGCTCATGTGGGAAACCTAGCCTTTTTTTCTAGCCTGATCCCTGCCAGCTCTCTCTCTCTTGTGCCTGGATTTTGTATTTGAGGTCAAGCATTCCTGCTGCCAGGAAGAGCTAAAGCTGTGCTCCCATCCTGTTACCTTGGTGACTGACACATGTCCAGAATTGGAATTTGCTGTTGGACTGGTTGTTTTAACTTACTAGCCCTGTGTTTTTCCATTTCTCAGGGGGTCCTTTCCAGTGATCTCAAAGCCTTCTCAGTTTCAGCATTCAGTGTAAGCACTGGGCTATGTATTCCACTGGACTCCTAGGAGCCAATCTTGACAACGGTCCCTTTGGTAACTTTGTAAGATTGTTGACATAATTTCAATGGAAAAAAAAATGTGAAGGTTTGAAGCATATATCAATACAAATGTCTTGGGACACATGCCAATTGGTTACTACAGATTTTGGTGTTAATCTGTAAATTTCATTTAAAATTTAGGTCTCATGTTAAACTGTAAACAACCAAAATAAATGGCTGGTTTTTTGTTTTTTTGTTTTTGGCCAATGGTGCAAGTTATTATAATACAGTGAAAAAAAATTAGCAATTGCAGAGATCTATAAATATAGTAGGATAATCCTCTATCACTGAAATTTGTTACTTACCTGAATTAAAAACACTTTGATGTTATAGTCTTCTAAATCAGTAGCTGTTATTCGTAAATTTTTGTGGTTCGCTCTTTGAATCTCCATTTGAGCCCAGAGTTTGCTATTGAGAATCAGCCTCAGGCTGCCTTGATTGCGCATAACTAAAACAGGAAGGTGAATGTATAAGACTACAGAATAGTTGATTCCTTAACCTTCCCCGGGGAACTTGCCATTTTTGAAAGTGAAGTAAATCCTCTAGTTGTTTTTCAGACTGTATTTTCACTATTAAATTGTAATTTGGCTTGATTATAAGTTGGTTTTCAAATTGGCTTTACTAGGTTGGAAGACCGTTTTTAGCTTAAAAGCTGGAATTATTTTTTTACTATAATAAACAATGATTACAATTTTAGAATTCCTTTGAGGACTTAGTGGTCTGAAGAATATTTATCCAAAATGGAGAAAACAGAAGCAAAACCTTAAGCATTCAAAAAATGGAATTAGCTAAATAAATGATGACATGGCTATTCAAGATAATATTACAAACCCATTAAGAATATTAAAGAAAGATCATTACTGATGTAGAAAGGTGGTCATGGTATATACTATGTAACAAGTAATATCAGGTAACACAACAGTGTAAATAGCATGCATTGTAAATTTTGGCAGGCAGTGGTCAGAGTGGCATTGAACAAGAGTAGAAAACAACTAGCACCTGCCTTGGGAATAATACTTTGTTGGGTTATTTAGAAACCTGTTTGCCAGTTATAGAACTGAAAACACCGTTCCTATTCTCTCAGTGTGAATTCTATTCTTTACTGGTTTCTTGAGCTTGATATCTGAAACTCAATAAAAATCCATATACACGGATCCCACTTCTTCCAGTGGTTCCTTCCACAGCTCTGATTGCCCAATGTTGGCCAGTAAACCTACACACCCCTCCCAGATCTCTGCCTATGCTCACTTTCGGTTTGGGCCTCTGAACAATGCCCAGTGTGTCTTTTCAGATGCCAAAAACTTTGAGAGCCTCTCAGTCTGACTGACTCCAGATTCCTACCATCACTATGGATGTCAGTAAACACACACAGGATTCAATAACCACACACCTTAATTTCCTTGGAAACTGACTTCATCTTGCCCCACACAACATGCTTAGAATGCCAAGAATGAAATATAGGGCAAATATCCTTTTTAGGAAAAACCATTTTCCCTTCAAAAATATCATCATATTGCTTTCAATGTTACCGAGATTACTATTTAGGGGTGTGCTGGGCTGTGTCATAGGTGCATTATCTCACTGAATTCTCACAATTGCTCAATAAGTCATGGAGTACTACTATCCCCATTTTAAGCTGATGTAACTAGGCTGTGGGGAGATTAACTTACCCAAGGTCACCAATTAGTCAGTGATAGAGGCAGAACCGAACCTGTGTAGTTTGACATCAGAGCCTGCTCTAAACAGGAAGATCCTACAGCACATTAGAAACAATATTGTTTTCAACAGTGATTTGTTGACTATTTTATAACACATCTCCAGAAAATGATGTGCGCCTATTGGAAATTTTACCCTGAGAAATGGCAGGTTGCTTTACAAAATGATTCCTTACTTAGTCTCGACTGGAATGTTCCACAGTCACTGCTTGCTGTGTCATTCAGCCTCAAAGCTCCTCTGCCCCTTTCAGTCCAGGACTGTGTTGTTTTGTTGAATATAAAAAGCTTGCAGTTGATCTAAAGGACAATTTTTTGAAATGTCAAATATATAGAAATTTATTTTAAAATGATTTCTTTCTATGCTACAACACTTTTATTTGCCTGATTTTTACCAGAATAACCTTGGTTAATGATTTGTAAACCAGCTTAAAAAATTTATTTAACTTTTAAAACATACAATTTTTGAATAGTTCAAATATCAAAAAGCAAAAAGATGTACAAATTGAAAAGTCCTTCCCAACCTTTGTTCTTCGTCTGTCGATTTCTACCCCCTGTGATCAGGTGATCGCTATTGCTAATATTTTGTTTATCCTTCCAGGGATATTTGTGTTTATATGCATGCCAGTGCCCATGTCCCCTATTTTTTCTATAAACAGTAGAATATCATACATACTTTCTGCATCTTGCTTTTCCACTTAACAAATATATTTATATGTACCACGTTTTAAATGAAAATTTTTTTTTTCAAAGTTTATTTATTTTTGGGACAGAGAGAGACAGAGCATGAACGGGGGAGGGGCAGAGAGAGAGGGAGACACAGAATCGGAAACAGGCTCCAGGCTCCGAGCCATCAGCCCAGAGCCCGACGCGGGGCTCGAACTCAGGGACCGCGAGATCGTGACCTGGCTGAAGTCGGACGCTTAACCGACTGCGCCACCCAGGCGCCCCATAAATGAAATTTAATGTTATAACAGATGGATAAAAAGAAAGGGAAATCTGTTCCTTGTTGGAAAATTGACTACCTTATTTCATGTGCCTACGCTGATGGCTACGTCACTCAACATTCAAATCCTATGCATGATACTATATACTACGTGTGTGAAATTCTTGCTTTATATGAAATTCAAAACTTATTTAAAAGAACTTTTCAAAGGAAACCAGAATTTTTCTATCTTGAACTGAAATCTATTCATCTTATCAGTTAAAAATGTCCAGTGTAAGTAGAACTTTTAAATCACACAATAATAGCACTGATTATAAACACAGGCATGTAAAGTATAAAATGTAGGTCTGAAGTTCTTTTAAGACAGGGTCCCTGGCTGTCTTCTTTCTAAGAGACTAATGTGAATGGTTGTAAACCCAGTAACACATTTTCCTGAAAATTACCCGTACAAAAATAAGAATACAACAAAATATTGGCTTAATCTTTGGAAGTGTCTAGCATGTTTAGTTAAGCAGCTCAGTCTTCATGAAAACTATACTTCTGCCTTTATTTTTAAAGGTGCTTCTGCTGATAGAAACTTGGTTTCGTGTATGTAAGTGCTCCCAGAAAGAGCAATGTGTGATATACAGACCTTCAACACATTATGTTCAGCTTCCTCCCCTGTTACAACATCAATTTTCTGCAGCAAGCATTTGGGTGATGGCTTAGAAGAGAAAGCAGCAGCTGATTCGATTAGGGATATATTTTTAATAGAGTCTGTTTGTAAGAAAAAATGGGAAAAGACACGTAAAGACCCCATTTTCTCTACTGTAAAAGTTCCTTGTTGTCCCCATTAATATACATGTCTCCTTAGCTTTTTATAATAATGAGTTTACCAAAAATATGAAACTACTTGAGTTTAGATAAATCTCTTTAATGATTCCTCATATCCTTAAGTAAAAAAAATTTTAATGCTTATGTATCATACAACAATATTTTCTATGCTTTAATCTTTGCCAAAAAGTTTTAAAGTGTTGCATTACTGTTTTTGTATTTTATAGCTATTGAACAGATGACATGGAAACACAGGAAATATAATAGTTGAATCAAATTTTTTACAAATCAAATAATTCTTACTTGAATTTAGAGAGTTGACAGGAAATTCTAGTACGGATTTGAATGGTTGTTCCTTGGTGTATGAATCATTTTCAGGTTGAGATTGGGTGAGATGTTGAATATCCTAGGTGAAGGAAAAAGATGTATTACTTAATTGTATCCCCATATATCTGCAGTAAGCCAAAAGATACCTTTGTTCCACTTCAGCAGGGCAAATGAACTCAACTGCTCTGTTTTTGTTTTGGACTCCCTGTGTGCTGAATGGGGAAATCCTTCCTATCATCAGAGGACCCTGGTTCTCATCCTCAGGAAGCATAATCTAGTTACCACCAGCTTATTTCAGGTGGGATCTAGTTCCAGGGACAAAGGGAGACGGTTTAGAGACCAAGAAGGAGGTAGCAGCTGTTCCATGCTCCCACCAGACTAACCTGATGCCTAGAAGGAGACGTAACAATCATTTCTTTTCTTTTTGTTTTAATGTTTACTTATTTATTTTTTAGAGACAGAGAGAGAGAAAGAGCAAGGGAGGGGCAGAGAGAGGGGTGGGGCAGAGGATCTGAACAAGGCTCTGTGCTGACAGCAGAGAGCCCTGTGTGGGGTTCGAACTCATGAACCATGAGATCATGACTTGAGTCAAAGTCGAACGCTTAACCAGCTGAGCCACCCAGGTGTCCCTTATTTCTGTTTCAAGGTATTTCGGTATTCCCAGCACTTCACTTTATACCCACTTCATATGAATGAATGAATAAATAAATAAAGTTGTCCAAAGAACGCACTAGCTGTCTCAGAGCTCATCTTTACAGAAAGAATTGTAATTTTTCTCCCAAGACAATTTATTTTTTTTTTAAGTATATTCTTTTTTAAAATGATTTATCTTTGAGAGAGAGAGCATGAGCAGGGGAGGGGCAGAGAGAGAGAGAGAGAGAGAGAGAGAGAGAGAGAGAGAGAGAGAGAG